TCTCTTGCACATCTGTCAGGCCAGGTTCTGTCCTAAATGACCCTTGATCCATCTCACCCTTCTCTTCCTTCTAGGATGTTTTCTAGTGGTAGGGAGGGAGGCTTTCGTGGAAGAACACGTTGAAGTGGAAATACTAAGAAGTTATGCATTGCTCACTTTCCTCATAACTGGATTTCTTTCTTTCTTGCTCTACTGCAGAGACCTGTCCCTGTCAAAACAGCTCTGTTAATATGCCATTTTAATAACAGACTTTACATGTTAAAGATGGAAATGGTGGTGAATGAAATCTGAGGAAGTTTTATCTGCAGCTGATAGTTTGAGAATCCACAGTTTTTAACCTGATGAAGGTTTAGTAACACTTTCCCAGAACATCTCTTCAAGGAACTGTCCCACACTGACTTGTAGGAAAGGCACTTAGGGAGGGACAACACCCTTTTTTTCCAAGAATGTGACCCTTTCAGATTTCTGTGTGTCACAGTCATAGGCCATGTTAAATCAGAAAAAAATATCCATTAAAGCTTCTTGAGATGTGAAAGCAGAATAAAAGGGTGGGTTCCAGGCATATTTAACTTTTTCAGATAAAAGTTTTCACTGAGTTTAACCAAAGGAGGTCACTTCAAATCTCATCCAAATCATGCTGGGCAGCTCTGCTGCCAGGCACTTGAATTACCACAGGAAGACAGGACTTCAAGATCCTTTTGGGTTACCAAGTCCAACACCCTGCTAACATAGGTTGTTTGCTTCATGAACTAATCAAGACCCATCTGAAAAGCTGCTGATTTGAGACCAGTCTTGCTGCAAAGTCTTTCTGAACAACCTCACTGTGCTGATGGTCAGAAGCCTCCTTTCCAGTCCCAGCCTAAATGTACCTACAGTGATTTATGCTCCTTTATCTTGGGACGTGTTGTATCCTGTCACTTAAACTGTTCTCCTCCCATGCCTACCTCTTCATTCTCTTCAACTTCATATTCCCATACTGTGCTTTTCCCAGTAGTACTTAATTTTTCTTGAGCATCAGCCATTAATGGGGTGTATTGTATATCAGGTGTTGCAGATTGCTGTGCAACAGCATCCATACTCTCTCCTCTGCAATTACCTTTCCTTACAGGTATTAGAATCTCATTTACATGTTTAATAGGTGCAATGTATCAGTGCATTGGCTTCTTGTAGTGGCTCAGACAGGAAGAGTGGTACGTACATGGGGATACAGACAGCTAAGTTTGCCTTCCAAGACTTCATGGACAGAAACAGGTACTTTTAGGGTCTATTTAATCCGATGTATTTTGGATGTCTTTCTGTGTAAGATATTTTATGACTTCACAGACTCCATTAACCAGATCTGACTAGATGTCCACAGTGACAGATACATATACTTTTATTATCCTCTCAAACATTTTCTGTCGGTAAGCTACTTGGCCATAACATAAATTCTTAAATAGGGCTGAGTGCATGACCTTAAACTTTGTATTTCATTATTCCATGCATCATGCATTAATTCAATAACGGTTACGTAATTCTTCCTGTAGGAAGCCAAATACCCTAGAAATTCGTGGTGCTTTCCATCTTTATTTTCTCAGAAAATGTCATTAAAATTTTCCTGACTGAATAGAATTTCCAGAGTGATCCTAGAAGAGGACTTCCAGCCTTATCTTCCACCTTTTAGGAAAAACCTGAAGATGTCCCTTCTCCGATTACGGACTTCACATCTTGGCATGCTTGTGACTTGGCATGCGGGAAGACAAAATCCACCATGGAAGTGCAGCAGTGAATTACCAGCATGTGGTGGACTGGAAAACGGTGGTGGATGTGCCATGGAAGTACTAAAGGATGTATATGAGTCAGGCAGAGATGAGACAACACCAGTCCAGCAACTCAGCCCTAAAGATGAGTTAACGCACTGTGGCTCTTTGCTTAGGTTAACACTAACTGATGCTTTTTGGGCGTTATGTCATACAGTGTCAAAGACAGGGACTGCATCTCTGCCTGGTGTCAAGTTGCTCATCACTTGGTGACATTTCAGGAGAGGCTGGTTGAAACCAGGCTCCATGCAGGTGGCTGGCAGAAGAATGAAAGGTTGGCTTGGCCAACGTACGTCACGCACACGCAGTGAGGTTGGAAGGTTGTTCTGCCTGTGATGGAAGTGTCAGGTTTATTCATGCACATTGTTAGCACCTACAACACACAACTGTTTCCTGAGAAGTGGCTGGTGTCATGCTTGAGTCTCTCATTGGCTGACCCATCAGAGCAGGGGGCACCAGGGACTGCCTCACCACCCAAATTCCCCCACATATTCTTAATAATTCCTGTCTTGGTGATTTTCCTTATTAACCTCAGTAACATTAACATACGTAGGAAATATGTTAAGCTCTTTATAAAACTTAACAGTAAGCATAATAATTCAGTTAGCAATTTCAGAAGCTCTTTCTTACAAATGAGGGACAAACTATTTTATTATCTGTCTGGTTTGGCTTTACCTTTCAAAGCAGCTTCAATTACTCTAAAAATGTCATCTGACTGCAGTAGCAGTCTTATTGTGCAAAAGGCAGTTACACAGCACATAGTTTTCCAAATCTGTTGCAAGCCTTAGTTCTTTGAAGGTGACTCAAACACCAGCTGACCAGCAGCAAATATCATTTCATGTGGCACTGCACTGGTCCAAGACATTTTCAGGATACATGAATACAAACCAAAGACTTAAGATTTACTGAAATTCCTTTCAACAGCTGGGCTGATCTATAGCACAAAGTTGCCCAGAATATTTACTAACTTTCCTGGCTCTTCTTTCACCATTCCTTTGGATTTATTTTAGTCAGGCTAAGACCTGCAAACAGAATCACTAAATATACCACAAAGTCACAGCAGTTGTAACAATTCAGAGACAAGTTTCAGCCTTTACATAGTTAAGGAGCGGTTCTGCTCTGTAACACAGCCTTGCAGTAGAGAAAGTGACCCACTACCATAAGTGCTGGCAGATATGCTGGCAGATAAATGTATGTCATTTAGATGAGCGTGCAGATCAGCTACACTGGGAAAAGTGCTGTAGTATTTCCTCCATGCCTTCAAAGACTAAGAAAGCATTCAGAGCCCAAGTGAGACACAACCTCAGAATAATATTTCTTACCAGAACTAACTCCTGAGACTCAGAGGAGGAATAAGGATCTCAGTTAACAAGTCAAAAGAGAAATTTTGCTGGCAGTTTGCAATGGAGTTACAGGTAAAAGCCTTAGTGCTCGTCTTCGTATTTTAGAGGGCTCATGGTGCTTTTCAGCTACCAGAATCTTTGGGTCTGATGATGTTCAGCAAATAAGTGAGGTTGTGAATTCCATTCACTCTCACTGAAGAAAGCAAGAATTTTGCTGATGCTATAGGAAAAAGAGGACCTTCTCTCTACCTGCTAATCAACATCATGAAATCTCTGTGTGACATAGTCAATGCTGAACAAGTCTCATGGTTCAGAGAGAACCATGTTGTTCGTTTCCCACCTGTGAGTAATTTTCTTCATTTTTTTTTTCTTTTGAGTGATCTCCTATTTACCAGTCATAGCCACGTGCTCACAGAACTCTTGGCTGAAAAGGACAAAGCTAGCAGTTTTGCTTTCAGCTGACCAGTAACTTCAGCTTATCCATGCTGACAGAGTTTTTCAGTATCTGGTTTTACATCTGGGACAGCCTTTTTTGAGCACTGAAGGTTACATATATGTACATAATGTCAGTGCAATCTCTGCAGAATTAGATTCTATATTTAACAGAACTTATGCAGACTGATGAGTGTTAATATCTAAGGGTATCATATGTTACAAATTCACATCTAATAATCCATGAATAATTCAAATGTTAACATTTTCCCCAGAATTTACCACATATTATTTTCGTTTTGCTACACAGAGGATCCATTGCTTAATGGCAGGGGGAAAGTAACTTTCTGGATCTCAGGCTAAACTCCTCAAAAAGACATGCAGAAAGTAATAATTTGCCCCAACTCCTCTAATCACATTTAGGTTCAAGAAAAATCTACAGAAATGGGAAATGGGGGTGTGAGGTGGAGTGATCTACCACTTTCTGAGTAAGCATAGTTTAATCTTTTGACTTTTATAAAAAAATCTTATCAAATACAATTTACTCTTGCAATCAACATTTTCAATGCAAAACTATTCAACTAATGTAAACAAACCATTGCACTCTGTTTTTTTACAAACTCTTTCAAGAACTTTTCTATCCCACCATCTGAGAATCAAAACATTGGGTGCCTAAAAGCAAAACAGCCACTAAAAGCAATCGCTAGTAAAACCCAACTTTTTTTTTTTTATAGCAGCATCTACTATTAAACAACTCACTACATAAACAGTAAGCCCATTAGAGCCACAATGTCAAAGATGCTCTGTAAGCTGAGCAGGCAAAACATTTCCACAATGACTGCAAGCCAGCAAAGAGCTCCATAAGATGTCAACAGGGAAATACAATTCACTCTTAATAGGCTCAGAGCTTACGTAAGTCATGCTTATGGGATAGTCTGTTACAAAAGTGAGCGAGCAAGTGACATTACTGTAAACACAACCTGCAGCTTCCTAGAACATGCAGGCTAAAGACCTTCAAAACTCCACTCAGAGACACTGTGCTAACTGTCAAGTTCACGTGTTCTGGGCCAAAAATGAAGAGAAAAATATCTGCTGATGCTGTGACAGTTCACATGATATTCATTCCTGTACAGAAAAAAGAGAGATCTGGAATCCCCTCAGCACCATGAATGACTTAGGAAATAAAATCACTATAACTAGTCCATGTTCTTCTAGTAAAACATTACTTGTTCTGTAAAAAAAATTAAGCCTTCATTCCCACCTCACAATTCTATATTTGAGATATGAACAAGTTTCTCTGGGTGACAACTTGGTTCATTGAACTAAAGCCACGGAGCAATGAGATATTTGCCCTTTCTGGATAGAAAATGGATACATTTGCACATAGGCATGAGGAAAGTGAGGAAAAAACATCTTAAGAACTCACCACCAGGTTTCCTATCACCATGACCAGCAAGAAGACGAGAAGGCACAGCGGCTGCCCAGCTACTTCCATGCAGTCCCACATGGTCTCTATCCACTCCCCACACAAAATTCGGAAGATGATGAGGAACGAGTGGAAGAAATCATTCATGTGCCATCGTGGCAAATTGCCAGTCGTGCTTATCTTCTTCACATTGTCCAAGTAGCTTTTCCCAAAAAGCTGCATTCCGACCACGGCAAAAATGAAGACGATGATAGCCAGCACGAGAGTGAGGTTCCCAAGGGCACCCACTGAATTACCAATGATTTTAATGAGCGTGTTTAGGGTTGGCCAGGACTTTGCCAATTTGAAGACTCGCAGCTGTGAACAAAACATAAACAACAGTGTGGGTTCACAGAAGCAACAGACATTTCAGCCGATGAATTATTAAAGTGGGTAAAACGTGAAAGACAAATGCCACAGTGTGTGTGGTGCAAGGTGATTTTAGCCATACTTCCTGTTAGCCTCACTACATCTATGAATAAAATATCAGTTGGGCTTCTTGGATGAGAATTAAGTTTTCCAGAGCTTTGTTCTGTCTTCTTATATAGATGTGCTTTTAGAGGCTCATGTACCCAATATCATGCTGAGGAGAGGAGGGAAGGAGGAAATCTCAGCTCTTTATATTTTCTTTTACGTTGCTTTTCCTCCTCAGATGCAACAGCCTGGCAGGAGGAAAGGGGCTTAGGGTTTGATCCCACAAAGAGAGAAGCAATTCCCCTGTGTTTCAGAGCAGACCTCAGCCAGATGTTATTAGCTGTTTGTTCCCAGGGTGAAAATCACCTCTGTGCCAAGGATCACGCAGTCTATGCACAACCCACATCCCACTTAAGACCTATTTTAAGGATGTAAATGGTGCCTAGCCCTTATGCTCTGTTTTCCAGTGAAGGTTTATTTTCAACCCTATTGAAGAGGGATTGCTTAAAACCTGTCAGGAGACTCTCAGGACCTAGCACAAGCAATGAAAAGTTTGCATTTTTGAGCCGGGCAGAGAATTTTTTGGGGAAAAAAAATCATTCCCCTAAATGTAACTATAAAGTCTTCTTTTCCTGGTCTTTCCAATTTGTGAAGCCATATCATGGCCAGAATGATTAGCATGGACATCCTGGTACATGAAGTGCAACACAAATGTCAGGCTGGCAAGGAAACTGGTTTTCTGTTCCAGTATGTCGACAGTGTCTCATTAATAGAATACCACTATCCCATGCACAACAAAGGAGCTGACAGCTAAGGAGTTCCCGTGAAAGACAGATGCTATGTTATGCTGATCAGTTCTAGAAGAAAAAAAAATCACTCCGTGAATAATTCAAAGACATTTTCTTTTGACAGCTTTTAAAAGAAGGGTGACATGTTTATAACATAATTTAGGAATAACAACGTCTAAAACAACAAATTACTGGCTCTTGCATTTCTTGGGCTATCAGTTATCTGCTGACTATGCTAACAGGTGTACAGGTATAAAATGGCAGATTTTTATTACAAATTTGAACTCAAACTTTTAAAGTGTGCTACAAGTACCTGGCACAGCTAGAAGGAATCAAATTATGTTCTCATTTACCCTGATGTAAATCTGGAACAATTCCATTTATCCTGCAGCCTATAATTAGTGTCACGTACCGCTCACCAGTTTGCAGCAATTAAAGGCTTTATTGGCAGATGCATTTTAAGAAAATATGTTGCATTCATGTCAGAGTTTATATGTAATAAAAGAAGAGAGGTAAGAACAGAATAAGACCCTTACCAGTCTGAAGGAGCGTAAAACAGACAGGTTTCCCATGCTTGACAAACCCAGTTCCATCAGGCTTAGAATAACAATTATGCTGTCAAAAATATTCCAGCCCTGCTGAAAATAGTAGTAGGGGTCAAGGGCAATTACTTTGAAGATCATTTCTGCTGTAAAAATCCCAGTGAAGACCTGCAGAAAGAAAACATGAAGTCAAAGTAACATCTTATGTACATCTCCTTGCATGCAGACCTTCCACTGACAGAGGAGAATACAGAAGGAAGCCAAAAACATTTTACAGGGAAATACTTTATTTTTCACAGCTGATTCTTTAACACTTACACAACTTTGTCTAGTGTTTTCACAATAATATTTGATACCACCACAGATGGACAATGAGATCTGAGTTCAAGTTCTGGATTGGAACGCACATTTCCATCTCTTCTCATCATCTGAATAATCCCAGCAATAAAAAAGTAAGCACAAAAGTGCCTTTTCTAAAGGTTGAAACTATTCATTTCAGCAGAGAAACCTGAATGAATGGAGTGCGAGTGTTAAAGGGTATTTGGGTTGTAGTGTATTATCCCTTTTTATTTTGTTATTATTATTATCAATACCAGGGCAAAGCAAGCCTCCAGTCATTTTGAGGTTATTGCTGGCAGCAAAGGCAATTAGAAACTCTAATTTGAGTCCTACTCTTTTTTTTTTTATTACAAATAGTCACGGCAATTTTCTTTCCACAACATCTTGGGAACACGTTGCTTATTTATGACACAGTTCAAATGTCATATGGTGGAACTTCTAATTGGAACATTTTTCTTTAAAGCAGCATATAGATATTACCTATGAGGCAGAGGGAGAGGGGAAGCGAAGGCTGCTGAGAGCAAAATCAGTTTTAACACATTCCTGCATTCTCTCAGAGAATCAGATCTTGTCCTTCCTTATGCCCTCCTTAAGTAACAGTTTGAATGCACGACATAAGGCTACAGTCAACTTAAAATAACAGAATGTGGGCACCACATTCTGCATATACTGTTTAACTTGTTATGTTTTGTTTGTTTGTTTAAATTCCCAGTGTGAGTTACACAGAGCTTTATGTTTATGAAAAATTCTCTGTTGTACATACACATATTAAAGTACATGAAACAATCAACACTAATTGACTAGTGTTGGTCAAAAAAGAGAGGGGAACCCAGAGTTCACATATCAGTAGCATACATTGAAGGAGAAATGTTTTCCTTCCAATAAGCTGAATGTTTTCAGCATTATCTCGGCAAAACTGATCAACACTGAGCAGCAGATATGAGGAGTCTATTAAAATGTGGAAGGGAAAAGTTAAGATCATATAATTATGATATTAAGGAAAAAAAAAAAAAGTTATCATAGCCTGCATTTGAAGAATGCTTGGCTTTACTCTGTAATACTTCAGGATTTAATTCTTCCAAGCAGCTATTTTACACGATTCCTCATGTAAAATACCTTGGATGCAGTGACATCCCATCACCGTCTCACACCAAGAACCCAACACAACAACCCCTCTCATATTTCTAACCAGCCAACAGTTTCTGGTCAGACATAGCAGAGATTCCCACCAGAACGCTCCAATTTCCTTCAGGACAGAGAGCAAGACAAAACTGGATGTCTGTGAAATTGTATCCAGGGGACTGCCTTAAAAACCACGACACCGCGCTGCGCACATTATGCAACCATCTTTCTGAGAAATGACTCAGGAGGATCACTTTCTTTGCCTGAATCATTTTAATCAATAGCCTTCTGAGAAGGAAATGTCACAGTAAGATAGCAAAATGTCTGAGCCTTCCTAAAGGCATCAGGAATCATGTACGTGCACCAGAATTTCAAATGGCCACTGTCAAAGCGCCAGCACCTGGGACAAAGCGACTGCACTTCTACAAGAGGCTGGATACTGAATGTGATAAAAGCTAGAAAGAAAACTTAACATCCTGCTGGTGCTAAATAAGACACTGCTGATCTGGAGGACTTTTTCCTTAAAGAAATTTTTTTACCTATCATTTCAGCCATTTAGGCTTTAATATCGCATAATGGTATCTCAGCTGCTAAAGGAAAATTAAAATTAGGGGAATCTTGCTCTACCCACTCATTTTTTAAGTGGTGGCACTGCATGAACAGATGAACCATGTAAAGATGTACAAGTGCTTGGCTGGCCTTGTGATCATGTTTGAAAATGCTGATTCCTGTGAGTGGAGAACTGAAGGAGACTTAAGGTAGCAGGTGCTGCATGAAGTAGATGGACAATCAGAGCAGGAGATTTCCAATCATAGAACCATAGAATAGTTTGGGTTGGAAGCAACCTTAAAGATCATCTAGTTCCAACCCCCCTGCCATGTAAGGGGGCACCTCCCACTAGACCAAGTTGCACAGAGCCTCATCCAACTTTGCCTTGAAGGGGGCATCCACAGCTTCCTTGGGTGACCTGTTCCAGAGTTTCACCACCCTCACAGTAAGGAATTTCTTCCTAATATCTAATCTAAATCTCCCCTCCTTCAGTTTAAAACTTACCCCTTGCCCTATCACTACACTCCCTGATCAAGAGTCCTTCACCATCCTTCCTGTAGGCCCTTTTTAAGTACTGGAAGGTTGCTGCAAGGTCTCCCTGGAGCCTTCCCTTCTCCAGGTTGAACAACCTCAACTATCTCAGCCTGTTCTCATAGCAGAGGTCCTCAAGCACCATGAGCATCTTTGTGGCCCAATGACTGGAAGCAGACAAAGAATTGCTCTTGGAGAAAATGAATCCATATTCCGCTTTCATTCTTTCATTTCATTTAGAAACATTTGCTTTGAGACAAAAATACCAAATATCTGCCCTTTTTAATATTTCCCCCCATTTAATGCTACTATAATCACTCAGAGAGGGTTAGATGCAATGGGAAGACAACAGCCAGCCAATGTGGGGGCAGAGGAGGGGTCTGGCAGCCTGTGGCTTAGGAGATGCAGACACCTGGCAGCCTGCCCTGGATTTGGGACTCCCTCGCTTTTCACAGCGAATTGCAAAAAATGTCAATTCTCATTAAAAATGACTTTGCAAAATCCTCCGCAAAATGGAGTTACCTTCTTCTGACCTGTTCTACTTGCAATCAATCCAGTTAGGCAGGGGCTTAGTAAAGCTGATGAGGGGAACCTGGGACAGTCTGGCCTCTCACAGACCCATCCCAGGATCTCAGGAGAAGGGGAGCCCTGTGCCATCAGCCTGCTACAAAAAAAAAATAATATTAGCAGGCTGCTTTGCTTATTTTACACTTCATCACAAGAGAAACAGAGAAATAGCTCTAGTCAGTGCTGAGAAACAGCGAGAAGTTTTTTTTTCCCCCAGAATTTTGCGGAATTTGCTTTGCAGTTCCTCTCTCTGCCCATTGCCTCTGTTTTCTTTTCTGCACTTGGCATAGCCCTGCTCAGCCCCGGCAGGTCTGCAGGAGCTGTGTTGGCAGGAGGGATGCCAGGGACTAAAATTTCTGCCTGTGGTCTGCAAAGGGAAGAGCTGATCTGCCAAAAGCAGAGGAAGGGGCCAACACGTTTACTAACCCAAGTCCCAGAGTGGGAAATGGCAGTGTTGCCACCTGCTCTGATGGATACTGGGTCCAAAGGAGGGCTTTTTTTTTAAGTCCTCTTAGGAAAGCCAGAAATTGTTGAGTAAAACCAAAGAAGGCTGGCTGCAATATGGAGCTGGATGGAGTCCTGAAAGATAGTTTTCTGAGCTACCCTTGTCTGCTGCTTTCTGCAGAGGGCAAGAGCAAGGATTTGAAGCAAGAGACCCAAACAGGTTTTGCTTTGCACAGCAGAGGCATATTTGCCAAGAGACATCAGCTGAGAAACTGGAAACTGGTCCTACATCCTAGGAGAAGAACTTCAATCTGCCCAAGGAGGCCCAGAGGTAAGAATAACATGGACTAGGGTAAAGAAATAAATCTATATATGAGGAACCACATATGCTATGTCTGATATAAAGTCTGGTTACTGCTGGTACCCAGGTAAACTTGCCAGCATCAGATGCTTCTCAAAGGCAGACCACACCTGTAGGGTCTCTGCATACTTCCAATATAGTCAATGGTCACTAAAGTCACTGGCCTCCGGCTTGTAGTTCACCTTATCCAAAAGTAAATCTCTTTAAACCATCACATTAATTGTGCCTTAAAATTGTCCATTACTCTCCACTGACTTTTAAGAGAGACAAAGGCAACAGGCTCAGGCAGAGACTCCTGCCCTGTAAAAACCTGAAGTTAGGCAAGGTGAATCCCACTTTGAGATACTGTTTTTATAGTAAAAAAAGGGATTTTTTTCTTTTCTACTGTGAACTTCTCAAATGCCAACTTAGCAGTATCCCAGTTCTAGGGTACTCCAGACTTACTTATGATCCTATAGGATATTCCTGCTTCTACTACTAGATTTTAGGGGCAATTCCAACCATGCCACAGCTAGATGGCCTGTGCCTTTTTCCAGTACAGACTCTTCTAAAATTAAAAGGATTTTAAACATGAAGTTTTAGACCACTGAAACACACTAACTTTTAAACAGAAACTCAGAGAAAGACGATGAAAGAAAAAGCTTCCGTTTTGTAGCAACTGCAGAATTTTAGTGGCCCCCTGGTTATCAAACTGTACTTCATCGCCTCCAGAAAGGCTTTTCTGCTGTCCCTGCAGTTTGGCTGTAGATCTGTCACTCTGGTTTTCCTCGGAGAAGTGCAGTCTCTGCTTGCTTTGCAGCTCTCTTCCCGGCTGCTCCAGCTTACACATTGAGTTTCCCCTTGAAGCATGAGCCATGCTTTGCTCCATGGCCCCTCTGCCCTGGGGTTTGCATGTGACCCAGGACATGCTGCTGGACAAAGCAAGGAGGCACAGCAGGACGTACAGGACACATGGAAAATGTACCATAGGCATCTTCCCGTGTACACATCCACCTACAATCAAACCCCACTCTTGCCTTGTTTTTTTATTTGAACTTAAAAGTTGCTATTAGTCACCAAGAACTGCTGCCTTACCATTGTTTTACCAGAAATGCAAGATGAACCACATTAACCTTTCTCTTATCTCATTCCTTAAACAGATACAAACTAGATGTCTGTGAGAAACAGTCCATAAACATGGCTTTTATGGTTACTAATAATATTAGAATATGTTAGTTTAATTAAAATAGACCTTTGTCCTTCATTCATTTCTCTTCACCCCCAAGAAGAGGTGACTGTGGACTTGCCTGATATGTCATAGCCAAAGCCATGCTGACAGCATATTTAAATGGGGTCTTCCCAAGCCACAGGAAAAATTTTAAAAGCAGGAAATGCACTTCTCAGGTAGCACTTCGTGTTCACATCCACTTACCAAATTGCCAATGTAAAGCATGTGGTCAAACTCCTTCGTCATCTTATAATGCTCCAAGGCCATGAAGAGCGTGTTCAGCACAATGCAGAGGGTGATGGTGAGGTCGGTAAATGGGTCCATTACCACAAACTTGACAAATTTCTTGATTAAAAGCCAAAGTGGGCAGCAATCCCAAATGAGAAATTTAACAGCAAAGTGGTTCCAACAGGGAGGACATTTCTGATGTGATTCCTCAAGCTCTAAGTCACAAGCAGTAAAGTAACAGTCAATTCACACTGAGTTATATGACAAGAGAACACTTAAAATGACTCATAATGTAGAAGAAGGCCCCTGAATTACCCTGAACTTTTTTTTTTTAGGGTAAAAATATTTCTGTCCTACACAGGCTGGCAAATTATGCACTTTGGGTTTTTTGCCAGTTGACCTGCACTTAGCAGACAGTGACCTATTCAGAAAGTAATATCCTTTTAAAAGTCTCACAAGCAAAAAAGAAGAATCACACTAAATATGTAAAGCCCAGTATTATTACATTGAGGCTCAGATTTTGATGCTGTTTTCCATCTTGGCAGGTTCAATGGATAAGAACACACTATATTCCTTTAGCTTAGATTGGAAAGTATTTTTTTCATTCCCAGGTCACATTTTACAAGTACCTTAAGCAATACTTTCTAGAGCAGTTAAGGGATGAAAGAGCTTAAATCCAATATTTAGAGCTGATTTAAGCACTTGAGAGCCAGAGTATCACTGGTTATCAATAGGTTTTCTGTTCTTCATGTGTAATCCAAAAAGGCATTAAGCGTCTGATTTCCTTTGAAAGGCCCACATACAAAACCAGGGGAGTGAATAAGTTCAGTCTGAAAATGCTACTAAAGCTCCAGTGTGTTTTTTAAAGGTGCTTTTACAATATTACCTAAAATACAACTTATATATGTTCTTTTTTCTTGAGCACAAAAGAACTGAAAGAGCTTCATAAGTATAATTTGCGTTAAAACGGTGAAAAAGCCAAAAAAGACAGTTAATGGTCAGATCATAATGATTAGCAGAATTGCTTAATGCTTTCCTTTTCTGATTCCTTTATGGGCATGGAATGCTGTGTAATGGTTTTAGTCTATATAATTAGAACCTGCACTGATAACAGGAAAACTTCAGCCAAGGCTGTTATTTCAATCAGTCTATAAACAGCCTCCTCTCTCAAGCCAGGATGCACTCTCTGTGTTTTATTTTATTGGACAACAGAACTGTGGTATTAGGTGTCTTCTAGCAAGCTTTCAAAATATCAAATGATGTCCAACATCTACAGGCTTTGCACAAACATCTACACTGCCCCAAGATCTCTGGGAAATCAAACGCTCCCGAGAACTAACTATGTCTTTCCAGCTTCTAAACAGAGTGTTTACAGGTAAATGCCTAAACTGATGTGAGAACTATCCATACCCCCCAAAATTTCAGTGCAAAATGCTAATTTTGGGTTTGGTTTTTTGTTTTGTTTTTTTTTTTTTTTGAAACCTACTTTGGAAAGTAATAAAGAGTTTAGGACAGTCACTTCCTAAAGCATCTCACTTTCCAGAACATGTCTATCTATAACCATACTACTCGTGATCCACTTCTAACCAGCCCTGCTTATACCACTGTCATTAATTTGAAGACCTTTGTGATGGACACGTATCAGATGAGTGACTTTTTTCCCTGAGGCTCCACACTCAATACAAGCTCTTCTAAGACCATGGTGCTGCTAAAGGGGTAGTTTCATTCCTCCCAGCTTCACCCACGTATTATTTGTTTGTCCTTTTGCCAGCTTTTATGCTTCTGGACCTCAGCAAGAGGAAGGTGTGACTGTTCTCTTTTGGCAGGGATGTGGCATTAAGACAGTTTAAATCAATTAAGAAACCACATCCCTTCCCACCACAGATAATCTTTGGAAGTCAAAACAGATTTAATACTTTTTGAAAAACAGCTCCAAAAATAAAAGTAATATTTAACTCAACTGTGTTGTTTTTTGTTTTTTGGGTTTTTTTTGTTACTTTATATTGTTTTTTTTTAAAAAAGTGGTTAGAAAAACACAGTCAAAGTTTGTGTTAGAGGTATTTTTCCTCTTATTTTTAAATGAAAAACCCCTAGGTCCTTCCTCGTCTGCAAGGCTTTGCAATGTCTGGGAAAAACAGGCAGATGATAACTACCCAAAAGCTGAGAGCAGAAACCAGGTAATTAAAGGGGAAGGGATTTCTGGTCTGGCTGTTTCACACAATCTGGCACAAATCATACAGCTCTTATTATAGTTAAAGCTTGTGATACTTTTTATTCTGATTTGATATTCCTCTTGTTAGCAAGTATGCAATTTCAATGACTAATCAAAGTCTGGGAGTTAGGGAAATTTTGATAAGGATTGGAACAGTTTTTTTTTCTATATGAAGCTAAAAATGTACATCCTCTGAGTTACCCTAGACTTGATGGTCTTTATTTCTGTGGTAAAAAGTAATAGAAAGTACCATTAAATAAGGAGTCCAGCTCAGGCCTTTTAGGCACTCTTAACACATTACAAAGAAGCAAATCAATCACAAGGCCAATTGGTAAAAAAAAACACAGAAAACAAATAAAACCTTTTCAGACTACACTAAACACTGGAATACACTGCAGTGATTATTTACTTATGCAGAATACAACTCTTTATTTATTTAAACATATATTTATATATATATCTGTTCTGGCCACAATACTGCTGAGTATAACCACAGGGGATGGTAGAAAGCTGCAGAAGAAGAAGGGATTTGTGGTTTCATGCTGGGCTGTCTCCAAAGATCTGGGTCCAGTCCCTTTCTGTAGGGTATCTCCCAAATGAGTCCCTTCATCTTGCTTTGTCTTCCTACTTATCAGTAACAAAGAGAATATGGTTGCAGAAGAATCAAAAATTTCCCTTGCTCCACACTGTTCTTGACAGACATTTTTCTATACTCCTAGTTGCTACCTCCCAACTTGTCTCATTTCTACACTGTAGGAGACAAGAGGAACTGTAAGAAGACCTTTCATGATTCATGAACCTACAAACATGATGTCTTCCTATGAGTTGTCTTGCTACCAATAAATCTATGAAATGGAAATGCAGAGTTGCTGTGTATGAGAGATAGGGAAGGGAAATCAACCTACAGCTGATGAGAAGCTTGTTGAGCAATGGAAAATTTGCTGAGAAACACTAGCGTGGACAAACGGGTCCTTTGGACATCCTTAAATTTCACACTGGGATTCAAACACCCACCAAAGTGTTGTGTCCTGCTAGCTGCTGGCAAGGAGCTGACTTTCATCCCCTGCAGCCTGGAAGTTCTGCATGTAGCTGGTGACAGCTTTGCATCAGCTCCAGAGAGATGAGCTATAAATGTATGTACAGTCACCCAAACAGCCTGGTGCTCCACTACCCTGCACCTTGGTTAGCCCTCTGTAAATCAAATGCCATGGGGGCACAAAATATTACCAGATGCAATTCTGATTATATGGCCAGCATTTTATCAGGCTTTTTACAAGTTCATGGTTAATTACCTCTGTTATAGGGGTTGCAGTAACTATCTATAATGACCCCTCGCAAAGCAACAAGAGTTTAATACTAGGGTATTTTGTGCCACTTAGTTCCTGCCAATGAACATGCCTGTGGCTCTGGGTCAGGGTCCCAGAGACATATCTTACCTTCCAGGGCACTGGTGATGATGCTGACAGCACTCACTGCCCTCTGCCTCTGGAAGGGTTCGTCCGAGTGCTCCAGCGACGGGCGGTGGGGCATGAGAAGCTGCTTCTTGCTCGCTTCATCCGAGGGAGAGGTCTGTTTAAATGAACACATTGGATCAGCAGAACAAAACCAAGGGAGATACAGAGTAGTATTTTCAAAACTGCCTAAGCTCCACTTTTCCCATCTGAAAAGTCCAAGGCTCACTGATTTCCCTCTTAGACAACGTGATGATGGGGTGCTGCTTGGGAAAATGGCACTTGGAGCAATTTTGGAAACTTCGCCTTGTCTTTTACCTTCATGTAAAAAGGTGAAAGCTGCAGGTGAAAATAAAGGGATGTTTCTGATGCTGGAGAAACAGCAGTGCTGCTTTACCTCGTGCTTTGCTTGTGAAAGAAGCCCTGCTTAATTATATTAATTATTCCATTATTTCTGAAATGTGTTAACTGTTTAATTATACTGCTAGGAGAGAAAAAGGGGCGTGGGTAACAGCTCCATTACAGTCCTCTGATATCATACCAAGCAAACTGACTCCTCAACACATGTTTTTTCTTGTATTGAAACACTGCCAAGTATCAGGAACATATTGTCATTCTGGTGATCTTTGGTGTCATGGATTCTGAAGCTCTGTAATTAGGGGAGAATCTCAGCTTCTTTATTCTCAAGAAAAAGAAAAAAGAGCCCAAGCTCTCTTGTTCTCGTGTTTCTCAAGGAAGAGCTTTAAAAAAAATCCCCAAAGAAATCAAATACCAGAAAAACAGAACTCCCAAACTGTCTTTATGTAACATTTCATTTTAAATTAGTTTCATGCTTTTTGAAGGCTTGGTTTCTGAAGGTTTCTGAATTCAGACAAAACCAGAATATAGCTGCAGACACACTATTAAATATATTAAACACTGTATATTGTCAGCTCACAGGAGCAAGTTATTAAGACTTTTATTATTGCAAGCTCCCACTTCATACAGAGACAAATTCCACTTGCTTTACTCCTCCAGCTCTCCCACAGGCAGAAAGAAAGGTGGTGGTTGAGGTGTAAGGATCTATGAAAGCCAGGTTCAACATCATTCTCTGTACTAGACCTCCTGGTCAAGACACTTGGTGTCCCAAAATAAATGTTTTAACAGCCTGTGTCCTGCTCCTCCAAGCATACAGGCTGTGTGGTCTGAGGCACCAAGTATGGAAGAGAGATGCACTGTAGAATGGTGGGTCCTGATGGTTCTTGCAATACAGCTCAAGGAAATGTGGAAGGAGAAGAAATCTCTATGAAGATGACAACCCCTGGTCAGTACAAATATCAGAGTAGCCACTTTTGCTTCTCCATAGTCAAATCATCTACAGGAATCAGATTCGGACTTCTGGATCTTCCCATTCCTTGGGTCTGAGATGGCCCTAACCACCCTGAGCAGCACCTAGGATGCCAATCAAGATGTGCCATGTGCAGCAGCTCCACAGTTCTCCCCTCTGTGCCTGGGACATGCACCCAGATGGACTCAGGATCTCTCCTCTTCATTTCTTTACCAAAACTGCTCTTCAAGAAAGGCAATTCTCTAAGAACAACCAGAAAAAATACCACTGTAGTTCTATGAGCTGCCTCTCTGGAGTGTGACCTCTTCAGGGAAGGGGACATCCCCTTGTCAGATGGTTGCAAAGGACAAAGATGCTTGGCCACTGTTTGACAGTGAAAATAATAGCTAGGATACTGGTCCCAGGCCGTTTCAAAGCACTGTAGTTAAAAATACCAATCACTGCAAGAAGAGAAAGGACTTTTCAAGCAGGCACTTGAAACATCAGCTAAGTCAGGAAAGCAGTAATGCTTCAAAATGGCTTTCTTTTTTTCTAAAATGTTCTCTTTTGTTAAAATGATTGTCTCATTGTCCATTGAGTTACTGACGCTGTCATCTCAAAAGGAGAGGTGTAATCAGAACCTATTCAAAGAGACTCCTACTTGTACACAACATAACAAGAAAACACTCTATTCTTGGCTTAGGAGCTGGGGAAGACAGGAACAGTATTTCAGATGCATTAGTTTTCTTGATTCCCTTTATCTCTAAAACATCCAATAAAAAACAAAGAAGCAGCAAATGTTTTATTAATGGAGAGAGCATCTTCAAAATTGCATAATCATTCGCACCAGTTTGGAGTACGTAACAAATACATGGGACTGAAAAGAAATAACTAGACAAGGAGATAAAAAACATGAGGGAGACAAATTTCTAGGTAGAATTAACTAAAAAAGTAAAAGCAAGGAAAAAAAAACAAAATCAAAAAAAACCCCTCTACTCTTCCAGTTTCCTCTGTCTGTAGAATGAACCCTAAGAAAACCCTTTCAAGAAAAATTAATTTTCAAATTCCTCTGGATTATTTAACTCCTGTTAGACTGTATCTTCTCCCCATGCCATCTGATCCAAAATTTAGGACATCCCAATAGCATGTCTTCTAACAACCCCATCCCCAAGAAGTACCAGCTTTCTGACTGTCAAGAAAGATTTTATATTTCTAGTCATGCATGCACAAGTGTTTTTGCAAAAGTTATGGGTTGGTGGCTTTTGGTGGTGAAAGCCACCTTTTACTCAGAGGTGTAAAGAGAATTCACTGCAGAGCTAAATGAAGAAAAAAACTGTTTGCAGCGTGTTGTCCCCCATCTGCAAAGGGATATTTTGGAAGGAGACACAGGCATGGCTCCTTCTTTCCTTCACCTCTGGAGAGGTGAGACAGTGCAGTTTGCTGCTGGCCCGTGTTCAGAGCATATGCTACTGCTCATGGTAGCCACCCAGCCACAAGTGGCTCCAATGGAGGGTAGAGCCCAAAGCCCACATTGGAGGTTCACTCCCAGAGCCAGGACCCAGTGTCTGGCAGGCAGTGCTGGGGGGTAAGAAATAGTCCCTTGTGTGCTCTCTCAGGAGGACACAATCTGCTTCCCAACAGAGCAGTAAATCTATCACATTGGCAGCTTGCCACCTACTACAACATATTTTTCCAGGAAAGAAAGTTTCCATTCAGGTGAATTGCTTAAAACTATTGAAGATGCTTAGGGAAGTTTATGACATTGTGTTCTTTGTAAAAAGATAAGAGAGAGGGGTTTTTTAATTATTTATTTCATATCAGGGACAGATAATAGTCACTCAAGGAACTGGCAGTTTTTGCACTCTGAGATAGGAAGCAGTTCCAGAAACTGGGCAAACAAGGCAGCATAAAGGCTGTTATCATTACAGAGAAAATATACACAGGCACAGTTGGTCATTGTACTTATATTTTTATAGCAATTAAGCAAAAATAACAATCGTCCCTGCAGTTATGCAAGGAGTCTCCTCAGGATCCAGATGAGAAATCACAATGGAGTTAAACCCAGGCACCTCCAGCAGGACAAGATCATTTGTGTTACTCCCTGATTGACTGGAAATGTTTCTCCTTTGGATTAGCTAAATTCTATAGGGACAAATATACTATTCAGTAATTTACATGTAAATGAGGATGCATAACACTGCAGAATTATTTTCTTCTGAGTGCCTACAGTTCTGAGCTATGTCAAAATTATTATGAGAAGATGGGCTTATACATGGTAATTTTAAAGACCACATTTGGGAACAAGGACAGGTTTAATTTTCCTTGTACAGTAAAAATCTTTTCAAGCATAAAAAGAGGTGGACAGGCCACACCATGAACAATGGGCCCTGTAAGGCACTAGCACAAATATTTAATGAGATTGAAGTTGGCCATAATAGCACACAGCACTAAAAAGGAGCTATTTAATTTTGTGAATGCTTGATTATTTAAAGAGATTCACTGTAAACTGAAGCAGCTGGCAATATTTGTGTCAAATCTGAATGATATTCACTTAGGATGTGCTAAAACAAAGTTTGAAATGAGCAGAAACTCAAGCCATGGGGACAATTCTCTGTGTGGCAATGGCAGAGGGCTAGCTAGCTTTTGTCCATATAACTTACTGGTGGTGATTTTTGGATGACTTATTTCATTGACCTTTTTTCTGAACATGGAAACTGCTAACACTTTCCCTTTTCACCAGTCCTGTGGCAAAACAAGAATTAAAAAAAACCAGAAATTTTATCTCGGGGCAGTTTTAGGGTCAACAAGAAAACCTCAAACCAATGTGGTCAGCAAAAAGTTTTATGTTTAGAAGCAACAAAAGCCAAGGTCTTTGGATTTGGTTTTGTTTTTTTAATTAGATAAAAAAAAATAAAAAATTGTCTAAAGATAAGATTCTGAATCCTTGTTTTGGCACCTCAACAAGCAGGGGTTGTTAAGGGCTCACTCCCCACTTGTTTTCACTCCTGTCAAGGCAGCAATACCCAACATTTCTAGTTTCCTAAAAGAAAACAAATGTGTGACCAAGAGAAAATTCAGGAAGCGGTACACACAAGAGGGAGAACCCAGGTAGCTCCAACCTTGGCCTCATTGCCCATCCCAAAGCCATGTCAAGGGTGGCCTGGCTCTGTTCCTGAGCTGATGGGAAGCTCTGATGAGCAGGTGCCCCAGAGAGCAAAGTAGTTGGGATCACCAGCTAACAGCCAGCTGCCCACTTGCAATCAACCACCTCCTCAGTCCTGTGTCCATTTCTCTGCCACTTCTAATCTCCAAGATATAATTAGAAGGTCGGGATACACTAAAAACCTTGTGATTTCCCTGCAGAGTTACAGAAAGGCCTCCAGATGGCTTTAGGATGAAAGAAGGAATGTTGTTATGTGTATTTCTTAACCCTCAAAAAACTCTTGACAATCACAGGTGGTATCTTACTCATCCTCCTCAGATCCCATGGATAAATTGAGCTCCAGACAGGAGCTCATTAACTTAATCTAATCCTGCTCAAACAGATCAATACCATGTGCAGGGAGATGTTATTCTAACCTCTTAACTAGGGAACACCAAGACACAAAAAAAGCAATACATAGCTGCAAATAAATGCTACAGGAATGTGAAGAAACTTTGTGGGACATGTTTGTAGCTAACAAGACTGATGGGCCTAAGCAGCATCCTTTGAGATGATTGGAAATCTCTCCTGTTTCAGCAGCTGTATTTAGGGATTAGGGGCAGGAGACAGAAGTTGCAAGCACACCTGGTTTCTCATGGAAACACACATTCATCTGTGCCAAGCAGCCAGGGCCATCTGAAGAGCATTCAGAATGGGCTTTTAAAGCTTAGATGCTCTTCTGCAGCCAAGTGTCAGGAGCCCAGTCATCTGAGTGACCAGCCTGAACAGTGGAACAATCTGCTGCAGCCACCTCTCTGATGGGAGAGGGCACAGGCTGCAGAGGTGCTTTCATGTCTGCTCAGCTGCCACCCGCAGTCATTCCCATGGGCATAAGGAAATCATCTGCTGAAACTATGGTCTGCAGGTTGGAAACTCAAAACCAAAGACGATCAGATCTTGTTTGACATTTACTCTGCCTTTTAAATCAAAAGTGCTCTTCCAAGCTTTCCCCAAACCAGAATTCAGTGGTCTCCCTGCTCAGTAGCAATCAGCAGGTCTGTGTTAGGCTCATCTGATACCACTGAGCATCACAGAAGGGCCTAAAGAAATGCATCTTCAAAAACTAATGCTGTAAAATGTGTTTTGCCAGCTCCATTAACTCAGAAATTGCATTTACATGAGACAAGCCACGGTTGCATCTCAGGAAGATGCAAATTAGGGCTTAATGCATAGTGCAGTGAAGCCTTTTCAAAGACTTGTCCTTCGTTTCTTGTCCACGAACATACAACAGATAGTAGAAGTGTTTTTTTTTCACCAGAAGCTTACACTCATACAAAGTAAATAACAGCAGTCAATGGGGCTAATGAGATAACTTCAACTTCATCCTGCAACACATTTCTTTTGTCTCCCCTAAACATATGAAGACAAAAAAAAGAAACGAAACCTGCTCACAAAGAACAAACTCAACTTCGAGCTTTAAGGAAAAAAAAAGGCAAAAATAATCAAACACTACCCCCAGAAGTGTGTTGGTTTATCTCCAAGCACACTGAGGCGTTGGGTTTGCTCTTTCCTTTTGCCTGTGCTCCACAGCTGAGGCTGCACGTTTGTGCCCAGCCCTTATGGTTCCTGTAGAGAATACATCTGTACAGCAATGGGCTTCTTGCCAATTAGCTTTTAACTCCAGCTCATATTTTCTGGATAGATTAGATACCAAACCTGTTTTGTAGGAGACACAACATCCTTCACATTGCATCACTGAACGAGCATCTGTTACTATAGTGCCTGGGTGTTATTTCCTAGATGACCAGGGAACTGCCAAGTGAGCTCACCCACCCAGGCCATTCAATTTTCAACATCCATTTTTCTTAAAGGCAGGAAGCTGGCAAATGAAAACAAATGCCAGCAGAGCTCAAAGCCTCCTTGTCACCTCAGGGCCCAATCCTGTAAAATACCAATATTTGCTGTGAAAGGCTGAGTGCTCTCATGCTTTGTTAAGCTTTTTCTGACAGCTGGGAGAGCCTCAGAAGCCTGCAGAGCTGCTTTGCTTACAGAGAAAAGGGGGACATCCACTGCTCACCTACTGAGGCCTCCCTACTTCGGTTCAGGTTATTTTTTTCAAACAGAGGAATAAATTTTCTCTCACAGTTCCTTTAATGCACAGCGTTTTTGCACTGAGCTAAGTCCAGCAAAACTCCACCTATAATTAGTGTTTCTGTTGCTCAGCTGTCTAGAGACTGCTCTCAGGACTGCAGAGGGTAAAAATGGGAGTACCAAAGCCCTAAATGAACAGAGGTGTGAACGTCTGAAAAAGCAGCAACAGCCTCAAAACTGTCAACAGAGCAGATAATTCTCACACCAACCAGCTTCCCATGCCCAGCGCATCCCCTCTTCTCATGTACAATGTGACAGTCTATTTGCAGGACTACAGGGGATGCCCAGATAGGTGAGGAAAAAAATTCACTCCAAAGCTTGAAAGGAAAGAAGCTGGCTAGGTCTAAAGAAAAAAAAAAAAAAGCAAGCTACTTCTCAATTTACTGATAATCTGACACCACGTCTGGGATCCATCTCACTCACCTTTCTCTTCAGGAAATGCGTTGCCTAATACATGTCAGAATCACTTTTGCTGAGTTCCCCCACTCCCCAGTGTGATCTGGTTTTGGCACCTTCTTACTCCGAGTGGGCTTCATCTCACCCAACTCAAGACATGTGCAATGTAGTTATTCACCTAGGGCTCCCCTTGCAGTTACAGTGAACAGAAAGAGGTACTTTCAGGCAAAGAGATCATTCTGACCTATTTTAGATCCCCAAGAGGAAATAAAAGCTGCCCACACTGGCCATAGGGACTAGATCCCCATTGTTTTGACTGTTGAGAGTGATGAGCTCCAATGTAGTTTATCTACATTAAAAAATACAAACTCCCACCACACCAAACTGGAAACCTGTCTAAATTGCCCTGTCTGTGTAACAGCTATTTCCGAAACACCATCTCATGGTTTTCCAAGTGCATTCATGCTTAATTGCTAATGGTATCAGTCTTAAAGGTTTTAATTACAGACGTATTAAATATTTTTCAGCAGTGGTGGTTTGCAACAAAGATCCTGGCAATCTGCAAAAGGCTTGAAGTCTGTTGATCATCTGCTCATCTTTCCCAGGTGTTATTTGAACTGGATGCTAAAGCTTCCTGGGAACTCCCTTTGAACTGTAAGAACAGGTCTCCACAAGTAGCTACGCAGAAGACCAGAAGTTAGATGCAGAGAGATAGCAACTAGTGGGAGAAAACAGTCTCAAGTTGGTAAGAATCACACCACATCATTTTAAAAATATAATTTTCTAGCCACTGGACAATGTCAGTTAATCAAATGTCAAAAGAAACCAACTTAAAAATGTCCCTACAAGGAAAGAAAATTCATATCAAACCCAAGATTTAGGTAGTTGCCTCTAGGTATCTCTGAAAAGCAAGTCTCACCAGAAGTGGTGAACCTCTGTTATGTGGCACTAGACACAGGTTGCTGTGTGGGTTAGCCTATTGTCTTCCCACCCTGCCTGCCACGGTGGCTCTGAGCTTCTCACTGTAGACTGCACATCGCTTCAATATATTACAGCAAACTCCAACAACATTTAGAAGGAAACAAGAGCGTGAATCAGATACAAAAGTTATAGAGTACTCACCAGGTCGCCTGTCCCAGGCTTTTCCATAATAACTGGGGGGAGCAGTAACCCTGCAGGAGAAGTAGGGTCTGGGTTGAGTGCCCCGATGCCTCCTCCTATCAGGGAAACCACACCATTGCAATCCACTGAGCTGTTCCTTTTGCCCGTCTGGGTGTAGTTGGGAGTAGTAGGGTGAGAACTATGGCTCACTTGACTTTGCACGCTTGGACGCCTCCCAGATCTTGGAATTAAGAGAGAGCCCCGGTGGCTTTCATGTTCCACAGCAATGCTGATCTCATCATCGGCAAAATCTGTTTCGGAGCCAGTGTCTCGGCCACGGAGTCGGAAGCTGAAAACGCTTCCGTGGCTGGTTCTGCGCTTCACCAAGTTTGCACTGGGACCATAACTAATGCCAAGGAGAGTCTAGAAACCCCCAGAAAGGAAAAAGGGGAAAGAGAAACAACATTTTGCAACATGTTTTCAGGAGCGAGGAAGGTCTGGGGAGAGCAGTAAGTTCCATTTTAAATCAAGTGCTTCAGAGAAAGACTTAATTAGACCTATTCAACCTTGGCAAAGTTAAGAGGTTGAATAGTCATCCCTAGCCGTTAGGTTTTTGTCTAATACTTGACAGTTTAAGATGTACTGAAATAGGAAGGGTCAAGGTGGCATCCACCTTGCAGCATGATACCTCCTTTGGTTCTACTTCCCCCCCGTCCGATAAGTGCCAAAGGAGCTGGGAAGGCAGCACAAGGAGTGGAAGACAGGAGCAGGGAAGGGGATCCAGCTCCACTCTACTGCATTATCACACATCTTCATAACAGCTAGGGAAGGAACATTGCAGTGGGAGAAGAAGAGATAAAGAAATAGGGCAGGAAATGAACTGCAGGGAAAATGAGAAGAAGAGGGAAGAAGAAGAAGCAGAATACGACGGAAGAAGGTGATAAAGGGAAAAAAAAAACAAGAGCAAGAAGAGGGATATGGTTTATTAGTTTGTAAAATGATTATCCAATGCACATGGCTGCTTTAAGGGGTAGGTAACCTCAGTACACAGCAGTCTCCCTCACACTCAAATATCATCCCCTCTGACGTCAGCTAGTGAGAGTGCAGCTCTGACAGAGCATTGGCACGATGTAGTCAAGGGTTAAGCACACCTAAACCCTGGCAGAGTAAAAAGGATGTTCAGAAAATGCACGAGGAATTCAAGTCTATCCCTTCCCCTCCTAACTGAAGAGCAAATTATTGGAGTTAAGAGCATTTAGGCAGAACATACTTTTGATTTTACAGCCCGTACAGAATTTTCAGCTTCTTCAGAACTTTGTCATGAGCCAAGTATATATGAAGAGAGGTCAGATCTCCACAGCATCCACAAAACAAATGAAGCCTGATTTCATTTCTCACTGTGACTTACACCGAGTTACATAATGATGCTATTCTGTGACACTGGTACAAGGAAAAGGACAAAACCCAGGTCCCTTCTAACTAAAACCAACTCATTTGGATTGCTACCAAATGTTAACTGGTCAAAAATCCATGCCTGGGTTTCCGTGGCACAGTCATTGAGACTGATTTCTGATGGCAACACGCTTCCAGCTGCCCAGATTGCATCTGAATGATGACTCAGCCTTACTCCCTCCAACCATGCCAGGCACAGCCTTGCAGACAAGATTTACTATAAGCTTTGAAATGTGTCTCCCATGTTTCTCATGCATATGACATCCAGGGGCGAAAAGTGAAAACAAGAAATAGTAATCTGAGAAAAAAACTGGCAGTGTACAGCTCCAATCCACGGTCATTCTGGTACATAGTGTCCCGAAGTCCATCCAGAATGGAGCTGAAGAGCAATTCTAGCTTTAACAGAGGTGTAATTTGTAAAACGACCCATTTGACCAATGAGACAACAATAAAAACTATCAGATTTAAAAAATGCATGTCTTTAACAGAAATCCAGCTCTATGTAAATTTTGTGAGCTTGGGAGTCAGTAACTGGTCACATTTACTCATATCACTTATATTTTTTCTATGAGCTTTTTATGGCTGCCAAATATCCCTAAATTCACTGACAAAAAAATTTAAAAAGACTTAGCCCATTACATGGCTATTCAAAAAACCAAAATAAAGCGATTTAAACTTTGCTCTCAGTTAATCAAAGACAAATTACCTGGAGCTATTTATGATCACTTGATACACACAGCATGTGCAGATTCATATTCATGCATGTCAGTAACATTTACATAAACCCTGATTTAACAACAGCTTCACTCTATTTTTCCCTGCAATAGGAAGCATAAACAAGTGCCACGAAGACTTTACTTGAAGGCAACTAGTAAAGGAATATAAAAATGTTAATAACATCTTTGTATAGCATTATAAAGCCCTCAGAGACAAGGTTCCTCCTCTTCTAAGAATTTTTGTCTCTAGTAGGGATAGGATAGATATAATCAGATGAAAGAAAATAAAATAAGAAAATAAACAAGATTATGGGTAATTTTGAAGTGAAAAAAAAAGGCCAAAAAATATGAAAAAAAAATAGGTTCATAGGAATGTTTAATGGGCATTTTTAATTAATTTTGAAAATAAAGTGGTAATATGTTTCCTTCCATTGTTTTAACACAAGCTGTCTACAGGTCAGTCATGATATTCAATATTTCTATTATCTTCACAACTGGAAGTTTCAGCTTTAGTTGTCTATTCAGAGCCTGGGCTACCCAGCTAAATGCAGTGTGGAATAAGTGATGTTTCAGACCACGGCTTACCATTCTCCTCTGACCATCGTCATAGTCACACTTAGGATTCCTTTGGTCTTCCCCATATTCTTCTGTCCCCAAAGATTTCTTTTTCTTTTGCTTATTTCTTCTTTCCTTGGCATTTTTGGATGCTAAAGGTGACATTTCCAATGAACTAAGTGACATTGAGTCAATTCCTTTAGCAGCTAGTGCCTAAAACAGAAGATAGTAGAAGGTGTAAAGTCTATTATTTAAGGATCTCAGTGAAAACTAATAATTACTCTGCTCAACATTTGTTTTTCAAGCTCTGAGGTTGTATAAGAGATAAACTAAAATTTTCAAGTGATCTTTAATCATAAAACTATCTCACATGGCTGGAAATGGTCTTAACCTTTTTCTAGCCTCTATATTTAACCATATTAAAATAAGTAACAAGTGAGACAGGTTGCTGGTAGAAATGCACTCCTGCAGGTCTGCCACTCAGACCCTATGATAGAGCATTAGGAATGGCTGCATAGCTTTGCCTTGTGCTTCAGTGCTGTGCTGGCTGGCTGGTGGGATCACTGCAGGAGCTGTCTGGTAACAGACCAGCTGCCAGAAACCCAGCAGGAGCTGAATGTGAAAGCCTGGGTGCACAAAGCCACAGCCCTGGGAGCAAATGGGCAGCCAGGAGGAAGAGCTGATGGGTGCAGGGAGGAAGGGGCAGCATAGCAGCACACTGGGTCTCCATCCCTGGTGCAGGCAGGAGTAGCAAGGGGAGTTCTGAGCACAAAGCACCAGGTCAGGTTGGGAGCTGCTGGTGTCTCAGCATGAGCTACATCAGTGTCCCAGCGACAAGCCCCTTTCCAGAGCCCCAAGCAGAAATGCATAGAGTGAATTACACAAATAATATTAAACCAAAAGTGCCTCTCCAGGTTCCCAAGAACAGGAGAAAGGGATGAATCCTCAGTGCTATTGTCTGTAAGCCACTAGAATCAAACAGGCAATCAGCTCTGCACAGCAAAATACTCCCTTCCTCCCACAGGCATCAGTCCAAGGAAAGTGAAGGCACTTAACAGTCGTGTAAAGAATCAATCATGTATTTCAAGGAGTAGCAGTAGCTCTATCAAGCTGAGAGCACAACAAAACTTAATTCCTGTGGGAAATATCCTTCATGAGAAAGCTGCTTAGAGCAGAGAGGAGGAGGGCTCAGACACCAGTCTAGCTGTTCTTTATATATTTTTTTTTTTCTGAGTCAATTGATTTAATTGCTATGCTGAAGTGCTTTCTCTTCATAAAGATCCAGCAAGTCTTTTGGTGTTAAGTTCAGGTTTAGGAATGTGTTAGGCCAATCGTGTAAATTGACTGATAGTCTCCAAGCAAGCCTATCAATTATATTTGTGCTCTCTTTATACTGCACAGTGTAAAAGCTGATCTGAGGACTTCTGGTTTTCTTTTCTGATTGCTGTCATGTTTTATTGATCTAGAAAATATTGTAGGTTGTGCTACTAAGCATGCTGTACCCTTCCTGCAAAATGAGCTAATTTTCAGTTTCTTAGCTTTTTCTTACCTATTACTAGGGCTGAAATGCTTCTGCCTTGCATAGCTTTTTCAGGTACTGAAAAAGGATTTGGACTAAATTGTTTCTCAGGGCATGGAGGAAATGCCACGTCCAGTCTATCTATCCTTTTTGGTTGAGTTGACCATGTCCTGCCCCTCAGGCATCACAAGCCTTAGCTCCCGGGGCAGCAAAGGCGTGTGGGACCAGACATGTCTGGCAAGGATGGGTGGTGGCTGAAGGATGGGAGAAAAGCTGAGCTCCCATGATCCCAGATATGGGGATCATGCAGGAGGTAGCACTTGAGGCAAGAACTCAGCGGTATAGTGAGTCAAACCCAAGATGTTCATAAAGGCTTGGGGAACAAGTTTAGAACAGTAGCTCTGACTGGGGCAAGACACCTGAGAAGGACATCTGAGAAAGAGACCTGAAAGCTACATGGTGCAGCCATCCAGTTCACTTTCATGAGCTTCTTCCAGATGTCTAATTTGAGTTGTAGAGGCTGATCTGCAGAGCTACTGGGCTTCAGCAGTGAACAAGATGGACTCAAATCACTCTACTTCTGCTTCATTTCCATAAGATTAGGATAATTCTCTAGGAGTATTACAAATACAAATGAGTATTTTTGAAACACACAGAGTCTGAGCAGTGACAAGAGGCACTGAAAAACCTCTGAGGATGTTAGTCATTTTGTCTCTGAAGTAAGCTTTGAATGCCTGAGTTGGGAAGTCTGCTCGAGCTGGCCTAGGGGTACAGAACAAACGATGAGAAAGCGAAGACCTGTTCTTGAGTCATGTACTGTCCACTCTTCGTACTGAGTAAGGCACAGGAAAAATGAGACATAGCTGGCTGAAGAAAAGCCCATCTTATGAAGCACATAGACAAACAGGAACAATTTAGGTTTTCATGATTAACCTTCATTTTGACACCTTCTGACTTTCAGGGCTTAATGCTCCTTTTCTGTATATACACAGGCTTAACTGAAATCAAAGCCTTCAAAAGGGAAATCTTAAAAATCTTTAATTATAGCTGTGGATTACAGCAACCAGCGAAGTTGACTGTTATTAGGAAGAGCTCAGCTGGAGTTAAAACAGAGGAAAACTTGTATAAAATAGGTACAAGTTGGAGCTCAGTTTGCTCCCTTAGGTTATGGCAGAAAGTTACTATGTTCAAAGTGCCTGTACATGGAATAAATTGCATTTACCTATTACTTAAACTATCAAAGAGGATCTTTAAAAGGACTTAAATGATGTATAAGCCTCTACTAGCACTTTGTCAAGGGTGAATTGCATTTTCTATTTTCTTTCCAAGGATTTAAATGGGTTTTGGATTAGGCCCTGAAGCTATACGTACCCAAAAGAAAATTATGTATATTAGTTTTTACAGAGTATCAAGGATTTATTTCTCTGAACTACATTGCTACATGTTATTTCAGACTAATTTTCTTATTGCCTTCTTGTTTACAGCACCTAAAATGTTCTCTTCAGGTGTTTAATAAAGGCTTTCTACCCCACATAAGCCACATGAATTTTAACTAGTGTTATTAAGGCTATATGGCTACATCCACCACTTGGCCTCCCTGTGTTGTTTAAACTTAGGATGTAACATTAATTCCACATCCTTTGAATAATTTGCAAAGCTTAACCTCAAGATCTGCCTGTTTACTTGTTCAGAAATTGAATTCTATATGCTTCAAACAGTTTATCTTCCATCTTTATCTTCATTATTGGACAGCTGGATATTCATGGCAGTTTGAATGAGACGGTGAGGAAACGAACATGAGTTAAAGTGGTAGTGGAAGAAGGTTCAGCTGGGGCTAAGGCTGAGCTACCAAAATAGTTGTTTTGTGCTCAAATGCTGATCTAGTTATACCACCATTAAAATGTCTTGCATACCAACCAGTATAAACTCCTCTGCTGGTATATGTGATGAGTCAAACCAGTACAACTCTGAATATGAAAACCTAAATGGCTCCAAATCTAGCAAGAAAAGTCATCATTTTTCTTTTAGTAAGAACTGTAATAACTCTGTCTAAAACAATAAACATTAAGACGTTTTCAAGTAAACTCTTACTTTGGTTATCACATAAATGTAAAATAAAAAAAATGTGAATCTCAAGGTTCTATCTGTTTAAGTTAACCACAGCTAATCACATCATATAGTTTACTGACCTCCTGCTCTTTCTTTAACATTTCCATGGCTTCCCGAAACTTTCGTTCCTTCTCCTCTGTTTCAGCAATAGTGGCTTGGTTCTGCTCTTCATACGCCATGGCCACAACAGCCAAAATCAGATTGACCAGATAAAATGAGCCCAGAAAGATGACCAGCATAAAAAAAAGCATGTAGATCTTCCCAGCAGATCTGAGAGTCTTTAAGCACAAAAGTAAAGTCACTACTACTTGCTTACAATGTTTTTTAAAATAAAAAAAAGTAATTTTCTTAAAAAACTTAGATTTATAAAACAATTGAATTCAACCTTTGTTAATAACAGAATCAATTAGATGCTGTTAACAGAATTCTATTAAAACAGAATCCCTTTGATGACAAGTGACAACCACATGTAAGGAAAAGAATCTTTTCACTGACAAATTTTTATACTATAGTCAAAAATCGTGTGCTTTGTGGTAAAATTAATTTCTAAAAGAACAATACTTTCCTCCTTTACCAAATATCTCCATTGGTTTTCTTTTAGAATAGAAAACCTTACAAACAGTTGCAGTGAAAGCTCCCCCTACACAGCTCAATCTATTTTTGGCCAGTGCACAGGAACTTCCCAAGCACAATTCAAGTTGCATCCTTTCAGATGTCTACTGTCTAGAACCTTTACAGTCAGCAGGGAGAATATAGGGTGCAGCTCATCTGAATGTTATTTAGATATCTGCCTCAGGATAAGAACCAAACCTTGGGTGCTGTTGACTCTATTGCCTGGTTCTTCACCAGTTTTACAGGCTTAACTGGAGTTTAGGGTAACAGGGTGACCTTGTATTAGGTATGTCCCATGGTCAATGGCTTGATGCTAGTGATAGAAACCACTGTGTGGTATTATAAGGTCAATTAATAAAGAAGAGTGATCTTTACCCTTATTTGCCTTAACAGTTTCAGTCTTCCACAGTTGTATATGCAGCTCTGTGCCAAGTAAACGAATATAGCTGTTTAAAGAATCTTACAATTTCATTGTTCTGCATATTTATGAAATGAAATTGTATAACTGGCTACATGTGAAGGTGAAATCCTCAATACCTGCAAAGATGTTTTTGCAAAGCTTCCAAGTAGTATCTGTCATCACTATCTCCCTTGATATCCTTATAAGCATGTTCCAGTTTTGACAATTTTGAGATGCAGAAGTAAATCTTTGGTGGCTTCATGGACAGAGTATGCAATTTAATACCAAACCATCATATGTAGTTCTTCAGAGTTCAGATATCTTTCAGGAAATGTATGCTAAAATGAGCATTTACTAGGAGACCACCTTGCACATGTGACTGTAAGTTGACTTTGACCCTTTTTGTGCCTCTGGCTTTTAGGTGTCCATGATGAAAGCCTTGCAGCAGGGAGAACTGAAACGTACCAAATATTCTTGCCATTTGCTGAATCTGTGTTCATTATTGTGCCTTGCAAAACCAGATACACCAACAACATTGGTGCTTCTCTAGTCCCTTTTTGAGCTGGACTCAAAAGATTGGTTCATGTTACACCAGCCACCAAAAACATCTTTAAGTAGTGACATGGTGACCTTTCTTAAGTGGTGAACTTCACCTAGATTGAGCTGAATGACCCATTCAAAGTGTCTTTCTCTTAGTACCAATTTTCTCCCCTTTACCCAAACACCCAGCCTAAAGTCGTCTGATATCACTACTCCTAAGAAAAAAAATTAATTGTAACAATCATAACGACTGATGTCCCTGCTTATTGCAAGATGTTGGTGACCTTTAGAGGTCCCTTCCAACCCAAAACATTCTACGATTCTATGGTCCTTCTCCAGAGCACAGTTTGCCTGATAACAAGCAATTCTTTCTGGTTTTTAATTACTGGATATATCACTGTAACAAGATGATGTGTTTATTTTATATTTTTATCAATAATAAAACAATCTCATACCTGTTGATAAAGACGTTCCCAACAATCTTGAGTCATAAGACGGAACAAAGAGAGAAAGGCCCAACCAAAAGTATCAAAGCTTGTGTAACCATGGTCAGGATTTTCCCCAGCCTTCAGACATATATATCCCTCAGGACATGTGCTGCAAAACACAAAAGGCAATACATGAGATGCATCATAGATGACTTCAGTGTGGTGAAACTGGTTTCCAGGATATTGAAAGTTCCTCTATGGTAAATTCCTTCACTGGGTAAAAATACAGGTAGATGCTGACTTCACAATACCAAAGATCTTTACAATCTTATTTTCCCTTTGAAAGGATAAATGGGAAAATGTTAACCATAGCTCGAGCTGCAGTGGCAAATGAGGACCTAACATTTCAGATATTTGGACTAGACCAGAATTAGGTGCTTAAGCAGGACTTTAATGCTTAAGTATTATTTCTCTTGGCATTTATTCCTAATTAAGGATCATAAACATGGTGTCTCCTGTTACAGTTGTGGGTGATCATGATAGTGAACCCACTTTTCTGGTTGTGTAGTCTGACACTGGCTGGATGACACCAGTGTGTGCCATCTGAGCATCTTCCCAATTGCTTACTGTAGCTGACCTTACATTCACTCCACGAAAGGATTAAATCTTTAATTTAAGAAACCCAGCTCTTTGTTCCACACAGCACTGTAGTCTGGGGTCATGACATTGTTTCTGCCAGGAAAGTCTTCTCCTTGTGTGTCTTGCAGATACAGGTATTAAATGGCATGCAGACAGCATTAATCTCACTGGCTCTCATTAAACTTTGAGGTTCTTTACAAGTGATTTTCTAGCCCTATATGCCAGAAGAGGAGAAGAATGCTCTCACTGGTACTTTGTAAGTACTGAATTGCATAAAATTAAACACAAGGTAGAAGAGATCCCAGGTCATCAAGCCATCCTCTCTCCCAGAACAGTGCAATATTATTAGTCAAAAGACCTCACACCTCTTGCCTGTCAGAAGCCACTTGCCAAATATAAGATATTCCCCATCAGAAACTGAAGACATAGAGCAATATGAGAAGATTTACTGCTGTATGTATCATAGGAAGAGAATTTGAGACCAAGGATGTTGCCAGTGTTGTGGAACCCTGCAGTATTTTGGAATATATTAGGTGAGAACCGTCTAACTCTCTGGAGGGGTAGAACTCTGCAGATCTTGCAGTAGTGCTGGCTCTCTGTTCTCCTTATGCTACAGATGAAGACAAACCTAGTACAATTCAGTGTAAACTCTGACACAACTAGGGATGGTTATAACAAGATGGATTGTGAAAGCACTTTGTCAAAGTTCAGGGACACAGAGAGAGACCATCTTCCAGGCAGTGTTTGGTAACAGAGCAATACCCTCTGTCCTGGCAGATGGTGGGCTTGATGTTCTGCCTGTCAGATGGAGGAATCAAGGTTTGCTGAACTGCCTTCAGACAGGATGATTATTGAAATATCCAGTCATTTTAGACACATCACCAGCCATGTAGAGTGTGCCCAGTGTGTGCAGCTTTTAACTTTTTTCTCCCAGAAAAAAAACCCCATAGTGTTTCAATCACTGCTATTTTTTTACCAAAGTAGTATATTGCTGCAAATTGAAATGCAAAGCAGTAACATAAGTAATGCAATTTAATTTTTAAAACATCACCCCAAAAAAGAAATTGACTCCTGAGAAAGCAGAGTGTGTCTCAGTGTGAAAAGCAAAGATTTTTTTTTTTAATATCAATTTTATACTGCTATAAATCAAACCTCTACAGCACAGGTTTGCAACCCTGTACTGCATGCAGAGATGAGAATACACTGCTATAGGTTTTGAAGTTATCCAAATCCATGGTGTCAGCCACTGACATTAGACATTCAACAACACTTTAAGAAGCTTAATGTAATATCATTAGTCAAGCACAAAATTTTAAGTCTGCTTTGAATGCTGAAAAAAGGAGTGCTGAAGCATTGCAAAATGTGTGCATATCCTTGTCTGCAGTAGTTTTCAGAAAAAAAAGCCACAAAAATTAAAAAGAACAGCCGATGTTTGATCAATTAAATCTTAACACACATGTGAGAATATAATAAGTGATTCTGTCACCTTAGGTAGTGCCAAGTTAGTTTATATCAGTTGAGAATTTAGACAATAGTAACTATTTCTCACAAAGAAAGAAAGAGAGAGACACTTCTAATTTTTCCCTGCCAGCCTAGAAATGCCTCCTTCTAGATCTTTCCTACTTTGACTACCTATTGTTTCCTGGTAAAAGCCACATTTGTATAAAAATTACAGTAACGTTATTGAGTTAGAAGACAATACAACACATAAATTACAGCTTTTTTCCCCTAAAATATGCAGATGCACACTGAACCTCTCTTGCATATCCATGTCCTTTTTTGAGGCAGCCTTTTCACTAAATTTCTTCTCTCCCAAAGGCAGCATCTACTGTCGCTCTCTGCCATCTCTAGATCTGCTGCTGCAGACAGCTTTCAGTGCCTGTGACATGCTGCTGACACTGTTCAAGAGCTCTGAGAAATGGATTCTTTGGGTTCCTGAGAGGGAAACCCTCTCCACTTGCTTGTGCTAAGACAACATGTCTAGAAGGACATAAAAATTTTTGAAAGGCTCATTCCTTTTGCCATAAGAAAAAGACTGCACTTGCACAGTGTGCTTGGCTGGACACTAAGTGACCATATCCAGAGGCAGACAGCCTTTCCTGAGGCTTCCATAAAAGACCAGTCCCAAGTGACTCCACTGAGTTGGTCTCATTAGTCATATTTTAATGTTGTTTTACTACTTGTTAAAACTTCTGAATACAGCTTTGAGAAACTTGGTGGTGATAACTTCAGTGGTGAACTTAAGCCTAAGCAAGGCAGTTGGTTGGAATTTAGGTTTCATCTAGAATAAGTTGCCAAAAATTTTAGGCAAAACAGAACTTTTGCCATTAATTTCAAGAAGAGAGAGACTTTCATCTTAATCTCTTCACCATTTTGAACAAAAGAGTCTGAAAGAAAGGGGATATTAGGAGCATTGCACATCGATGTACTTCATAGGAACCTCTCAGCACAAGATTAGAAGCTACAAAGTCAGTCTTAGGCCCACTGCCAACGTTGCTTCCTGGGGAGTCTCTTTCAATGCAGAAATGCTTCAGAGCAACTGCTTGGAAACCCCTAGGATAAGAAGATGCAACTCCTCTGAGTGTCAAACTGAGCAACGGTACCTCAGACAAATATTTTGTTTGTAATGGAGTTGGTATTTTTATCCTGTCTTTATATGTCTCTAAAACCTTTTGCACTCAGCAGTAGATTGCTGGTGTGAAAAGGTCTGCTTGACTGAGTACTGTGAGTGTACATAGCTTTTTAATATTATGTTCAGTGTAAGAGCATTCAAACGAGGTGCATTCAGCACGAAAAGCATGAACTCCACCTCAGAAATGCTATTAATGTTAGCTCACATCCTCCTTACAGAGACTAGACACTTGAGACAAAATATCCTACTTTTCAACTCCTTATTCTTGCTCACCCTCTTTCGTAGCCAACAGAAGTGGTAACCCATGGGGTATGGGAACACATCAAAAGCACTAAGAGGAAAACAAAATGCTGCTTCCCAGAACAAGACTCTACAGAAATTTAAGTGTAAGACTCTCACAAGAGAATATTATGCTGCAGCTGACACCAATTCCTCTGGGAATTTTTTTTAAGGGTCTCAAGATTTTGCTGAAGCATCTCCTAAGTATAATATTAAGCCTTTCCCTTTGGATTTTTTTCAGCAAACTCTTTAGCTTCTTTTACCTCAGGGAAGCGTTTCACAGGATTACACTATCCTCTGATGCACAGGGATGGGCAACAACAACAAGCCACATAAATATCCTCTACGTGGTCCTCACAGGATGCTGTTCAATTGATCACAATAAAATCAGTGTCATTGATTCAGAGAAGTTAAAAGCATCAGTCTACCTACCTACCCATCAATCTGTAATCACCACTGGAAGCTGGCATTGGTACAGGAAATTAAAGAACATAACAAACAGCTTTGTTTTAAATAACACAGATCGGGAATGCCAGAGAGTTGAAGCTGAGGGGCATAATTACAAAATGCTCTGTCTCAAGAGCTTGATCCAGGCAACCTGCTGATCCAGACCATAGAGGCCAAAGGGGTTGTGCAATAAAATATTTGTAAAACAGCCACGTGCTGGATTGCAACGTTCAGACCCTGGAAATACAGGGAGGGTTGTTCATGGGTTACCAGGAGTGAGCATGAAGCAGCTGCTACTGTCAGCTCTGACATCTGTAAGGTAAAGCTGCACTTCATTGGGTTCAGGGTGCAAAGGCTCACTATGGATTGCTGCACCAAACTGTTTATGAAGGAAGCAATAATGGGAGATAAAGTGCATACCACAGACACACTAAAAGTTAAAAACCTAAACCATACTGTGGTGAGACCCCTGTAGTGTTCCTGCTTTGGTCACAGCTTAAGCCCAAGAATGCAGAAGCCAAGCTGAAATGTTTAGAGCTGACGTCTTTGACACATGGCTAATTCCAGAGGAATGGAAATCATCCTCGTGAGCACGGTGGGGTTTTGAAGCCTGACAGGAAGAGCTGGTAGGACAGACAGTGCCCAAGGCCTTCAAGGATTGTTGATGTGCACAACCAGCGTCAACCTGCCAATTCGTGCTGAAGCCCTCAGGCCACAAAAGAGAGGTTTAGAACTACTTTAGGTCACAGACCTGAGTGTTTTCCTCTGCACTTTCCATGTTTTCTCACTTGTACATGTAGGAGAAAGGGGCTGAAAGGCAGTAGCACCCCAACCAAAGCCACGCACTGCCATCACCAGGCGCTTGTTCTGCCTGAAACTCACAGGTCGTTTTCCTTCCCTTGCTCTTTCTTGTTTTGTTATATGAAAGACTAACTGTGGATAGGGGGTCTGAATTAAAATTCCCCATTAATTACCATCTAAGAGCCAATATCTGACTTGCACAAACATGCTTCACATTGGATAGGTCTGACTAGGAGCCCGCAGCAGCACTCACTCCAGGTATCTAAGGGGTAAGAGAGAATCTGAACGGCATTTTTTAAAGCAAGGGGTGCCAATAGTCCAAAAGGAGGGAAGTGCAAGCAAATATAACTGAATGCTTCAGGGAAATAAAA